TGGTTTATAAGTCATTGGTCGGTGAATCACTGTTCTCTAATTGACGGTATCATTTTGTCATATGTTAAAAGACCACAAGTTATAACAAAAGTTAAGTAAGATTGATGCATGAACAGTAAAGACCATCAGTGAAATTGAAAATTTTTAAGGAAACAAAGAATAAACACAGCTACATCATTGCAACCAATGTTGAGCCATGGTTATCTCACGGATGTCAACTGGTTGATACAGATACATCCAAAGAAGTAGGGACAACTGTCATAATTTCATTGAATTATATTACATCTAGCTTTCCAATAACCCACTACTATTCATTGCGCATCGAGACAAGCAGTGTTGTAACACATCTGCAAACTAAAACGACGGAGCTGTGGGGTTTAGTGGTTAAGGTATTTGGCCAAAAAGCCCAAAGTTTGAATTCTGCTCCAATTCTGTTGAGTAATATTATCAGCCCATCACATCAAGGGTGTGGCTCATGTTTAAGAAGCCGGTGGATGAGTTCAATGTAAGTTGACTATAAGTTAAATGACAGAAGTTAACATGTGCAATAAGCAAATCGAACAAATACGAGAAATATGACTGTACTTCATTAATACTTTACGTTTAAAGTTATGTTATAATAATTGTTACATTAGGTAACAATAAAGATAATAAACAGGGTATTTTAAGAACAAAAACTGTAGATGAATGATTTCTTTAGATTGATCACAATTGCTCATACTTAAAATTAACAAAAGCAACATGTTAGACATAGCTTTAAAATTTATTTATACATTTAAAGGACAAACCGTTGTTATTTTAACCATAAAAACTTAAGCCTACGCGTGAAATGCTTCAGCATTACTTGAAAACATGAGGATAAGATGTGAACGGTGTAGTAAACTTAAAAATATCACGCAATAGGTTATTTACTAAATGTAACATCTTTAGTAATCAACTTATGAAGTGGCTTACATCAACTCTCAAGTGATTTATAATTAATCATGGTTCAGCTTATCGCCAATTGTTTTTTGCCTGCATGTAAATTAGGTTTGAAATCAAAATACTATTTTCACTAGTATTTTAGTTTTTTTTAAATAGTTTGTTTTGATCCAACTGGAAGGAAATAACACACACTTGAACTAGTTGTTAGGCTAAAGCAATATGTACAGATATCAGGTCTTATTATGATAGTAGTGTTTGTATGTTTACGCGTTCAGAACTTTGATTTTTTATTGAACGGTATCTCGACATTTTTAAATTTTGTGAGATTCGTAAATGGTATACGCTTATAAAGAATGTTTTCTGGCCTACTGGTAGACCATGATTCGTCTCAATAAACCTGATGATTAGTCGGTGAAATTTTCTAAATGGTTGGTTTTACATGTAAGCAAACATTTCAGTGCCTTGATTTTTTGGAAAGGCCTGAATATGATCATCGTAGTATAAGAGAATTTTCACATTACTAGATAATATCTGTAATATGAAACAGCTTTCGAAATTTTTGAGATCTGTCTAGTTTAGGTGATTGCTGATTTATCATAAGGACACACAGGTAGACCAGTTAAAAGAGGATTCACAATTATCTGTGGAACAGATTAGCTCTGATTGACAAATTATATAATTATATGTAGATCTTGAGGTGAAAATTAGGCATGAAGAAAAGCTTATTACCAAGGACTATCAGTACTACAATGTAGGGAACAATAATTTGATTTTGGGAACACTATCTATCCATCAAATTGAATTAAGATGTCTACATCTATTTCTTAGTACACTATATCAGGTAACAAAGTAAGAATCAGAAAAGTGAAAACTTTTGGTAGAATCTCATATTATGACATCAACGGGCAATATAGAGCTCAAGAAGCAACATCCGCCTAATTTCCTCGTACATTTTTCTTACGTCATTCACTTCTCTCCATCAACATTTTTATGACTGTTTTTCTACTTGCAGTTATGTTGCTCATTAGATAGGTATGCTAGTATTTGTTTTATTCGTAGTTGTAACTTATGATCTCCGAGACTCAATCACTAAGCAGACACATAGTAGTCCGCGTTCAAGTAACCAAGTACTTGGGAAGAATAGTAAAAAGTCAAATAGCAAATAATCAATCAGATGAAGGCTAGTCTTATACAAAAAAAGATCATTGATTCATGTTCCATGCTATCCCAGTTTTCAAACTTAATATACATGAAAAGTGTCAAGATACTTAGTTCAAATATGACATTGGCACAAACATCTAGTTTACTGTCAATTAAGATTATTGTGACTCACAACTAAAACAATAACAAACTGTGTTGCAAATCTTAGGTAGAAAATGATACATAAGCACCTTAGTTCATGAAGAGAGGACAAAATTTAGTGTCCAACAAATTAATCAAAAAGATCATATCACTAAAATTTGACGGGATTTGTGATTACCAGTAAGTGTTTTCTACATGTTTAGAAAACTATGCAGAGTTTTGCTCATATTTAAAGACTTCATGACTTTGGAAATAAGTTCCAAGCTCACATTTTAGAGGAGTTAGTAGGTCTTCTAAGAGAGCAACCTTCAGGGAAGATGCGATCCCAACACCTTATATATCTTCAGCATTTCTAACAAAAGAAATTGCACGGAATATGAGTTGAAATAATTTCGGTATTACAGGTCAGCAGCAACAAGGTCTCATCTCGGCCAGTATTATTAGTGCTAAAAACCCATAACACCATTTAAGTGGAAAATAAGAGACCTATCTTTAATGCTAATAAAATTAAAATGCAATCAGCTTACTCGTATATGAAATATTGGTTATACAAGAGTGTTCATCTTCTAGACATTGCATTGTAGTTTTGATGCACTTATCTTTATTTCCTTCCTGATTCCTGCACACATAGCACTCCATGGATAATACTTTAAAAATTAGGTCATAAGCAACATACATTCTTTGAAAATTCCAAAAATGAATAATAGGACAATTGAAGTTATCATTTCCTCGAAACCTTCAAAGACGAAAATGAGGGCAAATAAAAATAAATAATAAAAGATGTATTTAAACAAACTGTAGCCGCAGATACACACTTTGCAGGGTATTTCAAAGAAAAAACTGTTTTTCCACCAATTCTAATCACAGTCCATACATGATACTTTTAATTGACACGCTGCTTGGTAAATGTTATTTCTAGAAAGACTGGATAATGACTCTCTTCCTCTTGGTTTACTATTTAAGTTCTCCAGCTGAACTCTCAGGATCATTTCTAATTAAGCACTTATCTGGATATTCGCTGACTTTAGAACAATAGGGATACACAATCTTCAACTAAAATCCTCTTTGCTCCATCGAAATAGGTTAAAGAGACCTCATTTATTCGGTTTCTCACAACGCATTTACACGTAACACCTTTACAATAAGTGTATACCAACCTGGTCAAAATATTGAGTCAGAGCCCAGTATCCAGTGAAGCTGATGAGGTGCACATCGATGTGGGAGATTAACGAAACCAAGTGTTTCGAGGATTTTCTTACTGCTTCAGTTTACTCCTCTCATAGTGAAGTGGTGATGACCATAATACGTGGCCGGCTAGAAGTTGAATCCCAAAGAGCCCACGGTGGATATACACTTTCCGATAGCTTGCTATGTTCAGCAGCCTCTGGTTGTCTCTCCATAATATGGGAGGTCATGTGGCACAATACAACAATGAACGAAATTACACAATGAATACTCCTATTCATCGTGTTTTTCGATGTGACTTTATCATTTCAAGCCGTCTAGGAGAAAAAACAAAATTGAAGGTGTATATCGAAATACACACGTACGTGCTTGGCGAACCGGAACGTGCAACGAAATCGACTTACATGCGATATCAAAACATATTTCACACAATGAAAGTTTTGGATTTTTTTTGGGAAAACAAAAAATGTACACAACTGTACACAACTGGCTAGCGATTGCAGGGATTATTAAGCACGGCGTTCCCACTCGTGATATGGTGCGGATGCATGACCGAGCACCTTCAGCTATGTGAGTCCAATAAAACTAATGTCATCAACATCCGATGTCGAAAACTTATAGAACTACTTATTTTGGGGATTTATTTGACACTCTAATACCTAAGTTCCTGCCTAGAGGTATTGGTAATCTACCGCCACTAGATACGAAAGCTCGTTAGGCGAAAGCTTCTTCTCTTCCATCCAAAAGCATTTGAACCGTTTGAACGGACTCATTTCAGTCATATTAAGTTTTTAAGATCATGGTTAAGAGGCATGGTTGGACAGGTGGTCACTAGATGTGAATCCTGATAAGAGTGCAGTGATGCAAATAAATATGATGAATCGTATCACTACACAATATTTGAATTCGTGCTACCCAAAGTAACAAGCCATAAAGACTCAGGAGTCATTTCAAAACCACTAGTCACTGTGAGGCTGCTGCTGCGAAAGGCTATAGGGTATTATGGTCTATTCGTAGGTCTTTTCAGTATTTAGATGATGAGATGTTTAGATTATTATGCCCGATTTGTGTGCGACCACATTTAGAATATGGGATTAAAGCAGCGAGTCCTTGTTTCAAGTATGGAGCAGAGATGCTGTAAAAAGTCCAACGACGAGGTACTAAGATGGTACAAGGTCTATCTGGCCTATTTTATGAAGACAGACTGAGACACCTTAACTTATTTCCGTTATCTTATCGTAGAGTACGGGGTGATCTAATGTTGGCTTATCGCATACCGAACGGTAATCTTGGTATTACTATGTTCTGTCTTTTACTTCCGTTTAGGACTGATAATTTGATAGGGTTTTCCAAGAAAGTTCAAAAACCGAGATCAAATCGTTTACGTCTGGAGTTTCGTTTCTCGCACCGAGTAGTGAATTACTGGAATTCTCTACCAGAACACGTAATATCAGCATCTTCTGTTATTATATTCAAACTGAGATTGGGCCTCTACAGTATTACAAACTGCAATGATTAATATAAGTCGATAGACCTCCTATCCTTAATACTGAAGACTGAAGTTCGAAACAAGTACACTGCTTAAACTCCAAAAACATTTCTTCACATTCTGGCATCAGGTTCTGAGATATTCTGATAGATAAATTTGGTATTTTCTTTTCGACGAAGTGTATTGGAAAAAATAGTGTCATAGCAACATATTACGATAATGACAAGGTTGTATTTGTTCATTTGGCGGAACACTGAAAGTCCGAAATCATGGTTGTGGACGTTTATATATCATCGACCTCAGGAAATACAAAAGTAATTTTTTCATAAATATCTTATCAAATTATTGTAGGTCAAAAGTAGACAACAATATATTATAAACATACTTAGTGCAGCTAAGATACCCTTTGAAGTAAAAGATATATCATCCTCAGAGACTGACAAACAATTCATGTTCAAGGCTCTCGAAGAAAATGGGAAAACAATAATAGCTCCTCAGCTATTCCTTGGGTCGGAATATCTAGGGGTATGTCAGGGAAGATCGTTTTGAACAATTTTTTGTGACGAAGTATGTCCACTAGTAAACTAGTAGCTGTCGTATTTTGGATACAACAAAACTTTAACGCGTGTATTTACTTTACTCTGCTCCTAGCAGAACTGTGTGTTCTGTTCATGATGCTGGTTTTCTGCTTGCTGCATTGCCAGAAATTGCTTCGAGGTATATTTCATTGTAGGCTTTTTATGCTTGTAGAGGTATACAAAAACGTGTTATGCACATGGGTTACCTGTTGTAGATATTTAGATGAATCAGGGCTTCACTCTTGTTTCATCACCTAACATTTCTCTCAATCGTCCGTCTTAAAATTAACTATCATGGTTCTTGTTGAAGATCTGGTTTGATCTGACTCCAAAGCTGTTACTTAGGCTAAAACTGTAAAACGAAGGAAGTGCTCGTTTACGCCTCAACAACAGTTTTTACATGAGATAGCCGCATAATATGAATACTGCCTACATCTAAAGCGTCTGTTCATCCCTGGTTGTTGATGCTAAAAGTGCATAGTACGGGTATAGCAACCACCAACCCATCATACAGCACTGGAGATCCAGAGGTAGCCCTTTCAGATTACCATATGCCGGAACAATTCCACTTAGTTGAGATTCTGGAAATAAAATATGATTCATAATGAGACCTAATGGCGAGCTGAGTGCGGTTGTGATGTTCTTAAACGCTAAGAAATATTTTGAGATATAGGGTTTGTCTATTTAGTGTTTTCATTTAAATTGTATTCTCAAAATGTTTGTATCATTCTTATTACTCAATGTTTCCCTTTCATTCGTTCACCTACAGAAATATGATCTCTTCTTGCCTGGTATATTTCTTGGTATCATAAATGTGAGTTAGTTTGTAGGACTAGTATATCAAGGCTCTATCTTGTCAACAAAAACATGATGGTAAATGAGTACACAAAGCAGTCTAAGCTTTCAGTAATCCAAGGTAATACACGAACCTTATATGCTTACAATAAGCTGAATCTTTGTAGAACTACCTACTATGCAGTGGTATTGTAGCTACGGATAATGAAAACCGTCTGTTAGTTGCCTAACCATTTGTGAGTTTTAGCTGTGCTTCTTTATACGCACTATTAGGTTGCTCAAAAATTTAAAACTTAATGCTTGGAGTATCAACAAACTTTAGAAAACCTGTTTATGTTTCTGATCTATCTAGTATTTGGATAGAGTTAACTACTTTCTGCTAGTTGTAGTGATTGTCACTGAGCGCATTCTGTCCTGTTATTTGATTGAAATCATTTCAGAAACATGTTACACTTTAATAAGTAACTAGCTGGAGCTTCCAAAAATCTAATTCTCACGTTTGACTTCGTACTATTTATAATGACGATGATTAAGATAATCATTTAATCTTCTGAAATGTAGCTTCCGACATTATTCATGAGGTTTGGTGACAGCTCGTGACCTCCAACTTTCTGCAGATATTCTTATGTGCTTCCATGTGTTGTAAAAGTTCCATAATAATCATAGAAAACCCGATAGCAATGTCTGGCATCTTGAATCTTCAACGACTGAAGGGATTAGGACATGTGTTACGTATGCGCTTCCACCGACTACGTCAACACGCTGTTGTAGAAATAGCTTTCAAGAAAGTTATGACCAGGACATAGGGTCAGTTGATGAAGACATTGACTATTGGACTGAACCATGTAGGTAAGTGTAGAATGCCTGGTTGGGGTTTGCGTGATTATCGTAATCACTGGTTAAAGATTGAGTAACATGTCTCAGAATCGTTCTGAGTAGCACAAATGCATTCACTCATTGTTTTCTCTTAGATCATAAGTTGATAAATTACTTAGTAATTTTTTTGTTCCACTAATGTATGTTTCCTCGGGTTGTATCTTCAACGCTTAGTCATTTTCATCCCCATTAATATCCTTACTATTCTGGTGTTTATCTTGACACTTTTATCTCGCTGCACTAATGGGGTGACTGCTTGAACTTGATATATCAGGACGAAAATTGAAGAAGTAGCTAGTTTACGGAATACTTGTATATATATTCTTCTTGTATAACTATTAGGTAGCTAGATTACTTTGTCTACACATTCCATTTATCATAAGCTTTCGGTCGACCCATTAACTACTGTCATACGATTTACCGTTTCTTATTTGCTGCCAGTCGATCATTTACAGTCTCTTTTATTCACAGCCGCTTTCTGGCTTTTTCATGTATAAATGTTGTGTTTTTTCGTTTTATTTCCAGACCATGGTTTATAGGGTCGTCTGAGCCCCTTTAGACAAGCCTCATGTCAATCATATCATACCATGATATGGCTATTTCTTAGCCTTGTCGTTTAGTCTCTGTTGAGAGAGGCATGTTGATATAGGGAAAACTTCAACACAGGAAACAATATTTCCTTAAAAATATCTCTAGTATCTTGTCATAGAGCCTTTTATTTTCATTGGTGTTAACAGTTACTAGTTCTGGTAAAATTACATATCATAGTAACGACCATTAGTGATATTGTTAAGGCGATTTACAATGTGGTACATCTTGCGTACTAAAAGGTGGATTACAAAACCATGCGACATAAGTGTGGTATTTATTTAAACAAAAAAACAAATCAATTTCCATAAGGAGGCAGTTAGTCTTTGAAAATGTTCTACTGGCTATCACTCAAATTTGATTTTTGTTGCAAGAAATTACAATGCGTGCATTGCTCCACTGTCACGTGATTCTCTGAGCTCCACGTAATAAATCTTACTGGAATAATAACTGTTAATCCACAAAACTATCCATCTTGTAATTGTAGGCCATTAATTGATTGTATTATTGTTGTAATTGTTTTCTAGCTAGCCAACTGTTGCAAAGTACAGTCTTGTGAAACAAAAGGAATTATGTCTAACACTGAAAAATACAGTGTTTGTCTTCTTATATTACTGAATTCATTTATTTAAAAGAGTGGGGGTATAGTGATTGTTCTCTTGACTTAAATCAGCTGGCTTTACGCCTAACTTATAATTACTCCAATGAAGCAACTGAATCAGCAACCTCCAACGAAACTGGTCTTTGTCTCAGTAAAGTGTTCTTTTTGTTCTAACCATTGTTTATTGATAAGTGATAGGGGATTCTGTGACTATCTAACAGTATGTGGGATGAATTACGAACAATAATGCGTTTTAAGTCTCAAGAGAACAAATTCGTTTACGAAATCGATCTGATTTATTTTTAAACATCAAATATCCACGAACATGTTTATCTTAACAGTAAAAATTTTTCGAAGTATTGGATGATCTTATGTTCAGTGAATGTGAGTGTGCATTCTCGTACAATCATTTTCGCATTTCCGTTGTCAAGATTTTAGAAAAATCGTTTCACGCATTCGGTTTTCTTCCATTAGTTTGCAAGGGTTTTTATTTTCCTTTTGTTGATAAAACGCAATTAATCTGTCTTTATTTGTATATATACATCTTGAGCGGATTATCTGGATATTGCCATTTGGTCAGAAGTTTTTAGTAAAATTAGCTATCTGGACTTAGTAGTACAGTAGATACAGCGTTATGGTTTAAAGTGAGAAGGAGTAGGTTCGAGTCCCATTGTACACACTAACATCAGGATGCAGAGACATGCGACTGATAGGTCGAAATATAGCATAATGAGCATCTTGGATTTTACTGCTAGGCTTGGTATACTCATGTAGTTACAAAGTAATTCTGTTTCCTTCACAATTGTAATTGAGGCTACGTGTAACATCCTAAGAAGAATTTCTTTTGTTATTTCTAATGCATTTTTAGGAGATTACAATCTCATGTTTAGTTCATTTTACGACTTTTCTAATCATACGCCATAATGAGTGGATATGAAAACCATCATTATTTTAACGGGTGATTTACTATCTGATGAACCATGCTTAATCTTTTGATACGTGAATTATCTTATAATTCGAATGCACACGTAGTAATACTTAAAATTATATTTTGAATCTTCTTACGATTTTGTGTTCTTGCAGCTTGTTTATTTTGATATGATGTCAGTAGGATATCTGAAATATATCGAGTTATATATATATATATATATATATATATATATATATATATATATATATATATATATCGAGTTATTTCTGACTTACTTAAGTACACAACTAAGCAACTAGTGGGTTACCAGGACGTCAATCATCATCCTTCGTTCTAAATATCTGGGTCACATCTTTGTCCCCCGTCCTCTACATACAATAGCATAGCTTTACACTATATATGCAAAAGGCTCCATGATTTAGTCATTAATTCATAAGAAGCGTGTGATCTGACATAAATCCATACAATTGTTTAGTTGCCCACAGTTCTCGTCAACATAAATTTAGTGATAGAAATAAGAACTTGATGAAGTGTCATTTATGACATCAATTCTTACTGTTAAAGTAAATATAACAGGTCTTTAAACAAAGACAATTAAAACCAGTCTATAGAAAGTCGTAATGAATGTTAGAGCCTAATACAATTATGTCTCAGTCTAGGTTGTAAATCTTCATCGACTGAGATAGTTAGGCCACGTGTTACGTATGCCTGAACACCGATTACCACAATGTGCAATGCTGACTAGTGTTGGGGATGGTCGGATGAAAGTTAAAAGTGGCCAAAGCAAAACTTGACATCAGTTCATAAAGTCAATAACTTCTAGTCTGAGCCATGTTGGTAGACGCGGACTACTTGGTTTGGGGTCCACGCCACTATCGAAACCAATGGTTGGAGACTCTGAGTGAAATGTTTCAGAATCGATCACAATCAAATAAATGTATACACCTTCTATCTTCTCTTTAACCGTGAGATTAAAATAGCTTTAAACCTTTCTTTTTACGAACTAATTCTTTCTTCCTGTATTATATCCTTATACAAAATCTTTCTTTTCTATATTACTACCATTGAAGTAACTACTTCTATGAATTTGGTAGATGCCGACTGCTTGGTTGGGGTCCGCGTGACTATCTTAACCAATGGTTGGAGACTCTTGGTGACATGGCTCAGAATCGACCACAATGGCGTCGGTGTATACACTCTCTGTCTTCCCTTAAACTAAGAGATTAAAATCGCTTCATATCTTTCTTTCTACGAACTAATTCTTTCTTCCTGTACTATGTTCATATATACAATCTTTCTTTTATACATTACCACCTCTGAATTAACTACTTTTATGAATCCGGTGTCCATCTTGTTGTGTTAATGGAGTATGGCAACTTGGACCGATGCATTTATGTGCCTGGTCTTACGTTGTAGCTGACTGACTGACTGACTGAATTTGGTGTTCATCTTGTTGTGTTAATGAGGTATGGCAACTTGGACCGATGCATACATATATGTGCCTAGTTCTACGTTGTATCTGACTGACTAAATTGAATTATTAATGAATTAACTAAGTATTACATTTATTAAATTACTCACTCATTTCTCTGATTCACATGAATTAACCTTTTCATCAGTATATGTATCCTTTTTTTTATATTTCAATAGGATTATGATGAATTTATTCAAGCTAATGAAAATGAAATGTTATTAGAATTTCTTAAAGTCACTAATTCATCACGGGTATCAAGTTTAGAAACTGAATCATAATTTTATAGACTGTTTTCTATTTACCTTATTCAAAAAATCAATCAATCAAATCAAATGTAACATTCCTTCTTGTTGTTGTTGTTGTTGTCCTTAATTTTTATCCCTTTAAAGGTCTCTTTTGTATCCCATTTCTGTGTGATAGAATGTATGTATGTATGTATGTATGTATGTATGTATGTATGTGCGTATGTGCGTATGTGTACATTTATCTAATTCAAATAATTTGTATTTTCTTACTCTCCTTGTTATTTTACCACATCGTTTTTTCATTGCCAGTTTTGATGTTTATTTTCAATTATCTTGACAGTATTATAATCTTGTAAGTGAACTTGATGCGATTACGATTTTTCTTGATGCAATATGAACAACCCATTCGCTTGGCAATATTTTCTCTCGCTTAATCATCTCTCAGTACTTTAATCAATGTAACTACCTGTGTGTGTGTGTGTTGTTTTTGCGCACTTGTTTCTTCTGTGTTTTCTTTTTCTTCTTCCATTTCCAAACAGCTTTTCAAGTATAAACGTACTAATTGTGCCAACAATAGTTATTTATATTGTTGAATGGGTTGTGTGTTTTTGTGTTAAAAATAGGTTTTCTTTTTCTCTTTTTATCTATTCTGAATCATGTGTAAATTAATTTATATCAGTAAATAAAGTGATGTTAATTCATTAAATTATTTTACAACAGGATCTTTGGATGAGTTTAATGGAATGATTAGGCCGATTAGATTCATCGTACATAGTGATCTGTGATATGGTTACTTTTACTATTATTTCTACTCTAAGATTTATCTTAATAGTTTTATATCTTCATGTTAATGTGTTGTGAGAAATTGAATCCGGTTCTACGTTGAATATAACTGAATGACGATTGAAGATTAACAGAGAGGAATGCCTCCAAATGCTCTTGTACAGCCGAGAGTGGGGCGAGTCAACTCCCTCTCGCAATGCTCTCACATGGCCACGTGCATACAACCACTGCCAGAAAAGTCTTACTGCATTCTTGCACCACGAGTGTTGTTTACGAAATTGACAGGACGAAAAGCGAATGTCCAGCGCTTTAACCGGGTTGAGGGTTATAGAGGATTTACCTAGGGGGTTGGAAAACCCTGACTTTAAACCAATGGTGCACATGGGCTCCAAGATCGTGAGGGGACAAATGGCGTATGAACCAATTGTTGGTCATCGGCTACCATGGGACAGCGTCTCGACGTTGCTCTACTGCCTTCTGGATTAGACTTTTCAGGATGTGGCCCCCTAAGAAAACCACTTTCGGTTAGGGCACCCGGAAAGTATCCCAGCTCTCACACAAAACGAATGATTTGCGTGGTGCATATCTATTTTGTGCCTTCTTGTACCAATGTTTATGTGTTTAAATAAATAAAATAGGGAAGCATAGAATTTAAGTATGACTTATGAAGTTTTCAATTTTGATTGTATATCTTCGCTGTATAATTACTTTAAAACACTTCAAAAAAAATTTAATATTAAAAATTTTATTACAGTGGTTTCCAAAATGAATCGCTTTTGATGGAGTTCATGCTTAATTAGATCCCTAAACATTAGTGTTAGTACTTCTCAGGTCGGTCAGTCAGCAACAACGTAGAACTTTGTACGTACGTAAATCAGTTCAAATTGCCATACTGTAGTGAACAAGAACACGAATGGAGACAATCGAATGTAATTGCTGAGCATCTCAATAAAATCTAAGAACCATATAGCAAATTGTTAATTTGCAAATTTTCAATCCATCGTCTCAAACTTCACTGTTCCTGTCGCAAAAATCAATCCATTGTCTCAGATTTCATTGTTCATGCCTTTTCATACCAACTGCGTTCCGTTTTCGTTCTTTCCTTCTCCAACTTTTACTGAAATACATTCTATGCCTGACCACCGTTATATACTACTTATGTGGATATAAGTAACCCACACCACAATACTACATTAGCAGCACAGAGATACAATTGCCGATTCAAATCCCATAGTGGTAGAAGTAGTAAAAGTATAAGCAGTAATCAAAAATATTAGGATTTGAAGTTGTTTTCATTTCAGCCCTTTACTTTTAATTCATGAAATGTTTGTTTGAAAATATTTGAGAACGAATTTTCGGAAAAGGATATTGGCAAGCAAATATTGTATTTCGATCAAATATACTGATTATATAACACTTTTTGAATAATAAAGTTGTTGAAATGGAATTTTGTGAATTATTATTACTGTAAGTTATTTACCAGGCTTGTAGATGTTTGATGCACTCCCTGTTGAATCATTAAGATTTTGTTGATGGTTGTATGTTGACAAGTTAAAGCTGTGGCGCTGAGGTATCGGAATACTTTTATTAATCCATAGCTTGTAAAGTCAACTTTAGCAAGAGTACAACACAAATCCAATGATCATATAGACATGGTATATTCTAAATTGAGTAAAGCTGATGTTTTAGATCATTCCATTTCGACCTAATGTTCTGAAAAGTACCATACTCTCTTTAAGACGTAAAAGTCTTGGGTTCCAACTTCTGACATTTTCTGGATTTTATGTTCTCTGAAATTTCGGTTCTTTAATCACGGAAATTACTTTGCCTTTCTAGGCGTCATTTTCATCATCAGTGCTTACGTCATGTATTCAATCAGCTCTTGACGAAACCTGTCTATCAAATAAGGATAATTAAATACAAGTTATAAAGAACAAATCCACAACTAATATATGCATTAATATGCAAATTATGTTTTCATTACAGACAAATGATTATGAGTTTTCTTATTATTGTTTATCAATTTTCCGATATATTTTATTCTGATAATTGGAAAACAAAATCTAAGATGGCGCTTACATCTAGATCATTAGGGAGTGGTAATGATGGCTATAATTAAAAACAAAATTATGCAAGTCTTTATATAAACATTGGAGTCTGTTTTTTTCCAGGAATTATATGTGAAATATAGGAATAATCTTTTCATATTTATAAACCAATATGATGAATCATCCTAATTGTATGGAGACACGTAAACAAATTCTGGCCCTTATATATATATTGAGATCATGAACCGATTGATGTTAGACCACCATTGAAAATCTGGAAGCACTGGACGGCCATTTCGTCCTATTGTAGGACTCCTCAGCAGTGCGCATCCACGATCCCGCTCGCGGGATTCGAACCCAGGGCTTTCGGTCTCGCGCGCGAACGCCTAACCTACTGGACCGTGGATGCGCAATGCTGAGGAGTTCCACAATAGGAAGAAACGGCGGTTCAGTGCTTCCAGGTTTCCAAAGGTGGTCTAACAACAATCGGTTCATGATCTCAATCAAAAACTTAATAATCTCCACAACCCCTGTACTAGTAATTCAGAGTTTTGTTTATTTGATACGGAACTGGCGAAATAGAATATACTGATTGTGGCTAGCAGTAGAATTCAGCCTACGTGTTTCATCGTAATTGGGACTCGTTAGCTGGATATACCTGCATCAAGGTTGATGTTCGCACTGACACTTGAGCTCACTGCCTTTCACTTTAAACAGTTACTGCATTATTCACTGAACTGTTGAGTCCAAATAACTGCTAGCTTGTGTAACTGGTATGAAGTTCTACATTTTTGAGAATTTCATTATTAATGTATGATAAGAAGCTGTCATGTTAAAAGTAATAATTAGATATTTATTGAAATGGGACGCATCAAATTTAAGCATATAGTGTAGTGAACGAGAATACAATTTGAGACAATCGAGTGTATTTGAACACAAAATTACAGAATATCTTAGTTAAATCTGAAAACCATGCAGTAAATATTTCATTTGGAAAATGTCAGTCAATTGTCTCAGACTTGATCGTCTCTTCGCTTCGACACCAATCATTATCTGTTCTCGTTCAATTTTATTGGATCTCCTTAACCTTCACTTTCGATTAATGATACATACTACTTATATCTGTCGACATTAGTAGCACACACCACAATAGTATTATTGTTTAGTTGCCAAGTGCTCATATTTTCACTGAACTAACTGATATAACATGCAAAGGATTAAGCTTATTAAGTGAGTGATTCAGTAATGATAATCGTTCTGTCCAAGATTTGATTATATTTTCATATCTTAAGTTGTTAATCATTACAATAAGTTATCCAATCGTTCCGTAATAATTTCTGTGATATATTTATTTCAGAAGGAGTTTTATGGATATTATAGTAATTTCAATGGTTGAGATCATGAGTCGGTTGAAGCTAGACCATCATGGAAAACCTGGAGGAGTCCCACATTAGGACGAAACAGCCGTCCAGTGCTTCCAGGTATTCCATGGTGGTCTAGCTTCAACTGACTCATGATCTCAACCATTGAAATATATTTATTGAGTTTGAACATTTATTCGACATAAACTTCGTTTTAAGTTTTATCGATATAATTAAAACTCATTAAAATGAAAAATCCTATAAAAAGAGTGAGATTTCTGCCCTCCCCCCTCAAAGTATATTTCATTACAGTCATATTCTAGGGTTTGTCTTCTTAATAGTTGAGGACTAGGTTGGGAGTAGGATGTGCATAAAAATGGTACTCTGTGTTAATTAGACATTAACTGGAGATGATGAAAGACATTCATTACTGGTATGTAAATATATATCTATGAATAAACTATCTATGCACATATTGTAGATTCGAATACTTCCTTCTCATTGTTGGTCCTGAACGATACAATAATTAAATAAGAATCGTTTTATTCTTTATTCAACACAAACTTGCAACCATTACATTTCATTATGAATGCACTGAATAATAGGCACTTTTGCATTATGCAAATGGTTGCTGAGACAAAAACGTACAATTTTTTTTTCTGGTTTTTATTTCGGGTTATCATAAAGTTGTTGAAAAAGACTATCGAATAATCAAAACATAAACTATTTACTCAAAATTATTTATATATATATATAAGTGGATTACATTCCCTCGATTTTAGAGGTCTGTTAATTTATCAGCTAATAAAAAGTATGAAACACTAAGGTCATTCACATGGTTACTCAAGGTCATCTCTATAGCGTCACTTACCGAAAATTACACAGATTGTTGTTATACATTCAATGTTCTGTTTATTAATTCATTAAATCAACTATGCTATTGGCTAATAGGATTTGTTGTCATTCAGATTTATTATGAACTTGAGATTTTACTAATATGTTTTTG